CAACAGCGGAGACAACAGTTTAAATTGAGATTCTGAAGGGAGACAAATCCGGCTAGTCCCCGGCGAGGCGCGTCACACTATCCCTTTCTTTGCACAAATTGAGAACCCCAACACTTCGCTGTTTGGGGAATAAACCTTCAATCATAAGGGGCTGAACATCAAGGTATATTCCTTAGGTGAGGAATTGCTTAGGTGAGGAATACACTTTAACTTTTCTCAGAAGCTGGATATTCTGACTTACGGTATACTCCTCAACCAAAGGGTATGCCTGCCTCTGGGAACTTGGCCGAGCAATTAACGTTCAGCCTTCAGCTCGCGAAGCCCGAACTCTGAAGTATCCGATCTAAACGTTTTAACAGCTTTAACGCCTCAGCAGAGAATGTAGGGATTGGGGTTTAGGGTCCTTAAACTGCTGTACAACTTGTACCTTTGGGTCTAAATAAACATACAAAGCACCCCAGGCTTCTTGAAATGCCCAGGGCCTTCTCAACTGCGGGCAACACCCATGGAGACCTAATGCGCAGTCTGTGGGTTAGGTTATTTCGGGTTCAATTAAGGCGTTATATGGGCTCCCTTAAGTCCTATAACTGTTCTATGAGGGTTCCGAGAAGGGTCCTCATAGGGGTGGGCTGCAGGCTTTTGAGGGTTGGCGGGTTTGGGGCTTTGGGTTCTACTCTCAGCGCAAGCACGTATTGCTGGTCTCCATGTGGGTCTTTCTGGGCGTAGGACTGCGCGGGTTATAGTTACGATTCTATACTCGTTAAGCGCCAAACTTAGAAAAGGTCTTTGTTGCAAAGGTTGGTACTAAGCATAGCTGGGCTTTGTGGGCATACCACGATACAAAACGGCTAAGTAAGAACACGTATCCCTAGATGCGAAACATCCCGAAACTTGAAACCCGAACGCTTTACATTCGGGATTGGAAAGGAGTCAATTCCTGCGGCTGCGTCTCTGCTGCCACCATCTGGAGCAAAGTTCTTCGGTAAAGAAGGGCTGGGGGCTCAGCGGAGGGGGAGGGAACAGCATCCGCCATCTGGCGAACTTGCCAGCGGCACGAACATGCCTCCAGCACCCTGTCAACCGGCACCCCAAAACCCGGCGGTCTCGCAAGATTTGCGATCAGATCGACAGGCCAGCATGCTTGCGCAACCCTGAAAGCCGCAAGCTAAACTCCGCTTATCACACCCGTTATGAAACAACTTAGCCCTAAAGCCATAAACTCTGAACTAGAACAAAAGCTAAACAAAACTGAACCTTAAACCCCTCTCCCAAGACCCATGAACTGAACCCTCAAGCCACTTCTTCCTCCAAGCCCAAAACTCCAAGATGGCCCAGCGGCAGCGTCTGGGGCGACAGCAACTCGGAGCGGGCCTTCGGGGGTCGGATGATGCGAAATGTGTAACATGTAGTAAGTAACATCTACTATATAATGCAACAACATACAACATAACATGTATATAGAGTAGAAAATAGATTAGTATTCGATATGTACATATATATATATGTATGATATTGAAAACTGTATGAGATTATACATAATATATTGTAGGACATACATGATATAGGATGAATGGAATATGATGTACAATGTAAAATTTGGGTTGTAGTATATATATATATATATGAATGAACATACATGTTTATATACTATATGAGATACAGCTAAAGCATACGGAACATTAGTTAACATATGTATATGTAGCATATATTCTATACTATATGCTATATAATATACCATATGGTACAGCCAGGGTGGACAAGTCCCACGCGCAAGGGGTGATTGAAGAAGTAGCACTTGGGGTTGAGGGTTTAGGGATTTAGAGCAAGGGGTATGGGATGGTGTCTTGTTTAGGGATTTTTGGATCAGAGGTGTGTGGTTGAGGGATTGGGTTTCGCTTAGGACCGTAGCAGAGCACGATACGAATCCTGAATTGCTTATGTCGACCAGCTTTTCACACAGAACTCCTCCCCTCTGGCTGACCCCTGAACATGAAAGTCTAAGCCGACAAGTCAACGCCAGAAACAGAACAGCATGATACTACCCTAAACCATGAACCCTAACCCTAAACCCTGACACTGCCTCTCGAAACCCGAAACCCTGCCTTTTGCGCGCTCTTCGCCAGTGCCGGAGCGGGAGCGGGCGCCGCGCGCGCCCGGGCCCAGTAGCCCATCTAGGGGGAGTTATTCGATAGCATACGGTAACGTGGTCGAATACTACAATATGCTGCGATATACAAACATACATTGATGCATCCATGCATCCACTCATGCATCAGTGCTCGGGCTGAGGGCTTTGTGGAAATGTTCAGCCGGTTAGAGGATCTCGCATATCTCTGTCGGTAGAGTTTCTGTGTAACAGGGAGCCTAAGCAGAACAAGGAGCCATGCCCCACCCCAACCTCAGAACAGATGGGCTTCTGGACTCAGGGTTCGCACATTAACTGCTGCATGCCTGTGTGATCGAACGGATTTTCGGGTTTAGGGGTGGGCTGAGGCAAGCTGCACACAGACCGGCGCACACACATACACACACACACATACACACACAGACACCCTTAAATCCTAAACCCTAAACCGGAACCATAAAGCTAGTGCCATCGCGACTGGCCTCAACGTCTCCCAAAGCAATAACGACAAAGCAGGAAGCCTCGCCACCCGGAGGCGGCGCAGGCGGCTTCGGTGGGGCTAGCCTCACAACGCCCTTAAACGGAAAACCCATACGAATTCGTCGCAGGCGGCGTTTTGTGTCCCTCGCAACTTGGGCTTGACTTGAGGCTTTCGGATCCCCAAACCTTGAGTTGCAAAAGCCGGAAGATCCCCAGACTCCTCGGACTCGTTACAGTTTAGGGTTTAGGGTTTAGGGTTTAGGGTTTAGGGTTTAGGGTTTAGGGTTTAGGGTTTAGGGTTTAGGGTTTAGGATCTTGGGACCCTGAACCGTCTTGGGACGGGCAGCAGCGCCGAAGGGGGTGGAGGACCGGCTGTTCGGACCAGCCTCATTCAAAGTGGACATTTAGACGGCTTCGGTGTGGGGTACATGTTTAGCTATGAGGGGGCTTCCAAAAATAAGGGACCCTAGTATAGTACCCTAAATAATAGGATCCCTATTATAAGGACCCCAAAATAAGGTACCCTAATTATCGGAAAGTCCCATGAGGGGCAAGACAGGCATGATGCTTGCAGTGATGGAAGGCCCAGGATCCGGCTGGGAGCATGGAGATGCATGTCGGCTTCAGCTCATGAGCTCGCAATCTCTGAAGCCCGAAACATGAACAACCTCATACCGATAAAGCCTCAACCCGCAAACCCTAAATGCCGTAGTATGCCACACCCGAAACCTCAATCACAGAAACCCCAAAGCATTCAGGAGCTATGCCTCTGTCCCCGCTCAAAGCCCCCAAAGCCTCTGACGAACAAAAACCCGAATCCTGAAGCTAAGAAAGCCCGCGCCACCTGCCGTCGGCAGGACACTTCTCGGGCTTCTTTCAGGTTCAGGGCCAGTTGGCGAACCCTAGACCCTAAAACCTGTGAATTGCATTAGGATCCTAAACCCCATCACACCCCTCTAGGGATCTGCTTGAGCTTGAAACTAATGAAGCTGCTGGCTGACTCCGTTACCTCGAGACAACGACGCAGGGCTCCAGGGTTTCAAGTTTAGGGTTGCGGGGTTTGTAGAGTAGAAAGCCCAAAACCCAAGATAAGCTGGAAACTCTGAAGAACGCAAGGGTCGCTTACTGCGAGGGTTATTTGTGCAGGGCAGGTGTTCGTATCTCGGCCATGTGTCATGTGCCCATACTCGCACCAACATGCCAACAGCATCCCTAACATTCACTATACTGAACTTAGACCCCTAGCAAAAATTATAATTTTAGCTGCTTCTTAGGGTTTATAGTAGCCAAAGATTAAAAATTATTTCTAAGTACCCCTAAGTTCACAGTAGAAGCTCAACACGCAGTGTCGGGTGCCAGGGGATTTCCAAATCTCAGGCGAGCCGCAGGGAGCCAACTGAATCGACCATTGAGGAGACAGTTGTCTTCCTGCGGTGGGCTTCGGGGTTCCTGAAACGGGTCTAAGATTTTGGCTTTTCGGCTCTTTCGTTTCAGGTTTCGGGGTCTCGGACTTGGGGTTTTAACATGCGTCACAAAGCTCGGTCAGAAGATAGGCTGTGCCAGGGTTGAAATAGCTAGCAGCTAACGAGGAGAGGAGCTCACACATAAGCATGCAAGCATGTATAGGCTGTATAGACATGAGGCGACGAGGACGGAACAAGAGTTTGCTGGAACATGTTGAAGTAGTCTCAGCTGTCAGAAAGATCCAGACGGTTCCAGAAGTTTTGAAATCTTCGGTTCGAGTGAAGCATAGTATCGTTTACACCTTTTGGGATGTTTAAAACGAAAAATGCCGGTTCCGGGGTCGGGGTACGTAGACTTGGCCAAGAGTCTAGGTGGACACCTAGGATCTCAGACCATTTAATCCTACAAGCTTCAAGCCGCAAAATCCAAATCGCGTGCGCTCTCAGGATGTCTGAAACGTCCAACACCTGGGAGTTTCAGAATATCAGGGGACCAGATTATGGACCCTAAATAGTCGGATCTGTATAAGACGGCTCCCCAATAGTTTTCTGAAATATTCAACACTTGAGAACCCGAAGCAAGGCCTCAGCCCAGACTGAATGGGCAGAGCTCCCAAGCCCGAAACACCCTGTTCCCGAATCCTGAATAGCCCCCACGAATTTGCATAGGGTTTTTTGCCAGTGTAAGGATCTGGGAACCTCAGAAACACATATAATTCAGGCGCCAGTATTCACCCCCGAATCCTGAAAATTGATCCCCCAATGCCTGGCAAACACAAACAAAGAGGCACCAGGGGTCGACCAAATGTTGCCACCTACGTGATATAGGGGCCTTAATAGTTAGAATGTTTCGGGGTATGTTGTACTATATTGATAATAAGGAACCCTAGGAATATTATTGGCAATTTTTTAGGCTCCTATATTACCTACATGAGCTATAGCCGAAGAAGCCCAATTACCTTGTTAGACGGCTCTGTCGCTACATAGACATGGTACAGCAACTGCTTTACTATGGCAATAGAGCGACATTGACCTGGTTTCTAGATGACTGGGCTTCTCAAGAAGAGCCAGATCTTTGCCAGGCGACAGCGCAGCCGTTTGGTGGAAGGGCGGGTCATCCGCACCTGGCAAACTCCCGATTCGGTTTTGGAACCTCGGATGATTGGGGGTCACGGCTTTCGGCTCTGGGCTCTGCCCACCAATCCACATCCCGACATGCAACACCATCGCATAACTCTATCTCCCAATCGGCAAGGGGGCAAGGATGTTAAATTGTGGTATTTAAAGCCTTATAGGGGTTTAGGGTTTATAAGGGCTGGGATTAGGCCGGGCGTTTAGCATTTAGAGCTCCTGCTTCCGGTAAGAACTAGGAATCAGCGTGCCGCGGCCGTCCGGTTCAACTCCCCGCGAAGGGCATACCCCTAAACGCAGACAGAGACACCGCC